ATCCCACATTCTGGAATCGGCCGTGCAGGAAGCATCATCCATCAGTAGTTTCAGATTGTAAAGATGTACCACTTTGCCCAGGCTTTAAATGACTCGTGAGACTGGACCCTGATGCAACTAGATTTCTGATTTTAACACTGTTTTTATGGTACCGTTCTGCTAGTTTTCTTGTATCTTTCTACACTGGTTAGTGATGTTGACTATTAAGCCATTAAGAAATGCTTTTAAATAAAGTAAATAAGTAAATAAAAAATAACTAGAATTGCCTCCTATCGAGAAATCCCCCAACAGGCCTGCTGTTGTTGTGTATGAAGAAGTGAATCATTTCCCAGATTGGAGCTAAACATTATGTGCACCAGCCTGATGGTGAAAGAGGCAGCTCTGGCGGCCAGCTGAAAAGTTAGCAGCTGCTAAAGTGTGCTTTTCAATTCAATTCAGGAAAAAGAAATTGTGTCTTTGCAGTCACAGACATTTGTTACATAACTGTCTTATGGTACATATAAAATGCTTTGCATACGACCACAAAAATGTAATGTGAAAAGCCACCCTGGTGGTTGAAAGGACTACGTGGTTGTATTAGAAAGACCTCCCTTCAGTTCCACAAACAAGTCTTTGAATTCTATATGGTTTCCATTTACATTCAGCTGCAACATTTCCTCCATGTCCAGCAGATGTTGCTCCTCTTAAAATACTGTAGAAGGAAATAACTAGAGCAGGTAGAAGGGTAGGGGGTGACCCAGTTTCCCTGACCTTTTAAACCAAAGGGGGCGTTTCCAAACCACTGGAAGTCTTATTTCTTGCGATATGCACAATTCCTTACGTATGGCAATCACATTTCATTTGCCCTGTGTACAGAAATTTCTGTATGACAAAGGTATATCTGCTACCAGCTTCTTATTCTTTTGTTTTTAAAGCCTTCCTTTTGCACAAGCATTATAGGAGGGTTAGAGTTGTTGAGTTGCCACCACAGTTGGTCGATCAACTACATTACTAGCATTTTAAATTGATTAATTGGCATTCAAATAAAATAATGATTCTGGAGAAACAGGCCTACTTCTCTCTTTTTTGATAATGCACACTTCTGCTGCATAAGGCCTAATTGTAGCAAAGCCATCCCCACCTCTAGGGGCAATGCAAGGGTGCCATCCTGAATAAAATATTATATTGCGGGGGGGGGGGGGGAGAGAGATAAGCCCCACCCTGCATAATCAATTATAAGATGCGGCACACACAGACACCATTTGGATGGCAATGCCCATCAACTGGGGGTGGGGTGGGGACCTGGCCCCTTCAAATATTTTATGGGGTGGGGGGCTGGAGGGACCTTGTCCCCTAGGAGTTGGCTCCTATGGAGTAGTGCCACAATTTTTGAAAGTATAGTACTTGCATTAAAAACTATTTCAGTTCAGTTGGTGGTCCATTTAATGAGGGACCCCATTTTGACCCACTTGTCTAGGCAGCTGATTAGTCCAGGGATGCATAACCTCAGGCCCTCCAGACCTTTTTATGTGGCCCTTGGGGCTGTCCTAAAGCCACACCCCTCACTGTCCATGCTTTTTTAGCCTCACTGGGTGCTTTTTCCTGGTGGCAATCTGTCCTTGCGGCTGTGATGATGCCTGCTGTCTGTCTGGGTGGAGGGTAGACAGGTGTGAGTGTGTAGAAACTAGCCTACTGAAGAAAAGGAACAGTCCAATTGGTCGCTTTTGCCTTTGGCCCTGCCCACCTTGACATGTGGGAGCTGGAAAGTTGCCCAGAAGGGAATGCGGATCTGTGGCTGAAAAAGGTTCCCCACCCGCAGATTAGTCTTAATCAAGGAAATTCTGCAGCCCTGGGTTCATAAGACCTAGCTTGGCCTCACCCACCAAATCCTATGGCATTCTTCTGAACTTTTAGAACAAAGTTACAATGCAGTCTTGTGCGTGTCTACCAAGTTCAATGGGACTTAGGCTGCTGTAGCTAGGAATGCAGCCTTAAGGACTGTTATTATGCTTCCCTGCTTAAATCCAACAGGGTCTTTGGACTCCAGCCACAAATTGTTATATATAATTGTTCGGTCTCTCTTTCTTTGTGCCTCTCTTTCTCTTTCCCTTGCTGCACACACACACATGCCTTTTGTTTGCTGCTTAGTCAGCTTTATACTGCAATGTGTGGCAGCTATTGTAAATTCTTTTTCTTACAGCCTGGAAACAAGCACGCACACGGTCAACAAAATAACAAGATATATACAAGCTCCTGGCAAGTATGCAAAGTAAACAAACAAAAGATTCTCAAGGAAAATCTGCTGCCTCTATGCAAAATTTCTGTGAATGTTTCCTGCTTCTCCCTTAAAGGGAAATGAAAACATACAAGGCCGGATCCAGCTAACAAGGTCCACCAGCCAGTGTCGGCCTGAGGAAGCATGTCTAGCTCAGCAGGGCTTTTCCCTCGTCCTCCCGCTGCACCCACCCAGACTGGAGAGCCCCTGGAACAGCACGTGGAGGCAGGAGGAGTGGGCAGGCCATGCTTGTCCTGATGGAGAGACAGTGGCGTAGCGTGGGGGGTGCAGGGGGGGCTGGCCGCACCGGGCGCAACATCTGGGGTTAGGGCAAATCCACAGGTTAGGGGGCGCAAATCCACGGGTTAGGGGGCGCAAATCCATGGGTTAGGGGGCGCAAATTACTTGCCTTGCCCCGGGTGCTGACAACCCACGCTACGCCACTGTGGAGAGATCTGCTTAGTGCTGTGTTGAATTCCTCCCACAGACATAACACCAGATGCTCAGAGCTTTTATTTATACCAGTTACATCCAAAATCTGCACAAACCTTTTGCATCAAATGTGTTGCTGTGAGCCCCAAAAGGGAGTGTCATATGCTTGCTGCACAAATGCAATGTGGGAGAAACTAAGGCCCGTTTCATAGAGCCTCCAGACTTGCTTATATTTTGTGTGACGGATTCAAGCCCACACCAGAAATTGAGGTTTGTGCAATTATAGTGGGTTAAAGCACTATGTGATCCTGGTGAAACACTTCTACCTTTTTTAAAAAACAACAACAACTGACTTTTTATGGTTAGGGAAGTGAGAGAGAAATACACTGAAAAGTGTGGGGTAACCAAACAATTATCAGTAAGACTTATACGTAAATGCAAGCAGATCAGAATGAAACCAGGTTGAATGTTCATTGTTGTAGAACCTCTCCACAAAGAGATTACACAGATGCTCGGCAGAGACTGGAGATAGTCTAACCTCTGCATAAGCTTTGTGCAAGCAAATAAGGGTGAGTGCTCAGTAAACAGGTCATCTGGAGAAACCCTGGGACCATGCTGTGAGTGGGCTGAAGGCAAAGGAGCTCAGGGCTCCTGTTGATACAATCTTCCATGTAGGCAGGAACCAACTGCCCTGGTTCTGATGCCCACCAACCATGTCACAGAGGGACTATTGCAGCAGAGGGATGGTTGCTGCCAGTCCAGAACGACCATGTAGGATCAGCACTGATGGCACAGCAACAACAGTGCCAAACTCTTATGCTAGTACTTCCACTTCCCTTTGAATGAAACTTCCAGTGCTGGAGAAACTGCAGTCTGCTTGGAGACCAGCCTGCGCCTTTCCCCTTCCCCTGCGCCCTCCTAGTCTGCACGATGGGTTCTCCCTTCTTCACATATTAAACCAGGAACTAGAAACCTGTGGCCTGAAAGATGTTGTTGGATTACGACTCCCATCATCCCTGATCACTGGCCATACTGATGGGGCTGATAGGAACAGGAGTCCAGCAACATGGGGGGTGGGTGGGATTTCCCCTCCCTGCCTTAGCTGTTTAAGAATCCAACAAAGATAAAAGTCTGGTTTGCAAAGCCATGTTCGCCCATTAGGGATTGCCATCCACACCATGCCTTCACTATTATTCCACTTTAACTGTCATGGCGTTTCTGGGAACTATAGTTTGTTAAGGGTGATTAGAGTTGTCAGGAAACCCCTCACAGTGCTACATTTTCTAGCAAACTTAACCAGCTACAGTTACAGGTAGGTAGCCGTGTTGGTCTGCCGTAGTCGAAATAAAATAAAATAAAATTCCTTCCAGTAGCACCTTAAGAGACCAAGTTTGTTATTGGTAGGAGCTTTCATGTGCATGCACACTTCTTCAGATACACTGTGTATCTGAGTTGGTCTCTAAGGTGCTATTGGAAGGAATTATTTTTAATTTTTTGTTTTAACGAGCTACAGTTCTCAGTATTATTTGGGGGGAGCCATGGCCGTTAAAAGGTATGAGTGCTTTAAACATATTGTGTCAATGTGACCTAACTCGGAGGCAGTCCCGAGTTTAACCTATATAAAATGCGAAACAACCTAATGCATGCCTAATTATTTCTGATTTTGGAGCTACTGGGCTCCTCTTGCGTCCTGCGCTGAAAAGCGGGTGGGGAATGCTTCTACCGGCTTGCTAAAGCCACTCAGCTAATTGGCGACTGAGCAGATTACACGAAGCTATAATCCAAATGCAAGTGGACCGTGAGGGTCGCAATTACTTTTTTAAAACTGAGTAGGTGCATACTCAGGGAGACAGAGTCTATGAGTTTACTTCCTTGATAGGTGTGTGTGTTTCCCTTCCAGGAACCTCCGTCTCCTCTCCTACAAATCCATGGTGAAAACACACACGCCAAGATGAAGTTTTGATTGCTCATATCGCTCCAGTCTTGTCCTTTTAATATAATTCAGGCCCAATGGAAGGAAGCGCCCAACCCCTACAGAAGTCTCGGGTTTTTTTGCCACTTCGTAACATTCCCTCTTCCTGGGCGAGAGGAGGGAGAGAAAAAACCATTTTATTTTATTTTTGCGCGCTCAAGTTAACTAAAGAAGAAGGAAGGAGCGGAGCTGCTTATTTTTGCTATTTGCATATTTCAGCTTTCCGATCCCGTCTTTGCCTTCGAGGGGCGTTCCCAGGGCGTATTCGCTCCTCCTTTCCCCGAATCTCATTGGTCCAAAATAGACCCTTCTGGGAGCTGCGCCCGCCCCCTTGGTAAAATCTCAATGACAGGTTCTGGAACGCTCAGACCCCGAGTAAAGCTGCGATTGGCGGAGCGGCGCCTATTTGTTACACTCGCAATCAGCATCCTATTGCCCGCAGAGCGTTCCGGGCCCGCCCCGGGGAACACCTGCTGCTGCTCCGAAGTTCCCCCGGCCCGTCCTTTAGGGATCTGCTGCCCGGGACTATTATCGCACTTTGCAGACAACTCTGAACAACTCGCCTGTCGTCGAGTTTCTTCCCGGGGCGTCCGAGCAGCCTTAAGGGACGGAGAGCATGATGGACAACGGGGGAGGGAGCGAGCTTCTGCCCCGTCTGTGCTGCCCGGAGAAGGGGCCGAACGGCTACGGCTTCCACCTGCACGGGGAGAAAGGCAAAGTGGGCCAGTTCATCCGGCTGGTGGAGCCCGATTCCCCGGCCGAGAAGTCCGGGCTGCGGGCCGGGGACCGCCTGGTGGAGGTGAACGGCGACAACGTGGAGAAGGAGAGCCACCAACAGGTGGTGAACCGCATCCGAGGCTCGCCGGGCTCCGTGCGGCTGCTGGTGGTGGACTCCGCGACGGACGAGCGGCTGCAGAAGCTGGGCCTCGAGTGCACCGAAGACCTGGTCCGGGGGCTTCCCGACGAGGAGGCGAAGAGCGGCGGCCAGGAGCCGCGGGAGGCTGCGCAGCGGGAGCCGGACGTGGCGGAGGAAGATAAGAAGAAGAAAGCGGACGGGGAGGAGGAGGAGGCGGCGAACCACGCTGCCCAGCGGGTGAGAATCTAGGTCACTCCCGGGAAAGAGGGGCTGAGGAAAGCCCCAGGGGGGTGGGAAGGGAAGCGGGGGAAGGAGGCTGGGAGAAGCAGGAGGAGATAATCGCCTTTTAAACAACGGAGTGGCCGGCAGAAGTTCAACCGGTGAGGGTGTCTCCGTTAATGCACCGGCAAGAACGTTTGAATGGCTGCTCCTCTCGTAACGCCCGAAGCTTTTCCCGCCGTGGCGATCGGAGGAACCGCGCTGCACCAGCTGAATTTCTGCCTGTCGCTTCGCTCTTACAGGCATTGTCGCTGCCGTGGGTGGTGGCGACCCTAACTCCTACAACGACCTGGGATGGATTCGGGGGGGGGGACACAAACTCTCTCTTAAACACAGGGAAACTGGGGCTACAATCCTAACTGTGCCTACTCACAATTTCCATTCAGGGGGCTTACTCTCAGGAAAGCGGTTAGGATTGCAGCCTGGCTGTAACTCCTTGTATAGATGCAGCTACTGGCTTCTTTGCGTATTTATATTATGTTTTTCCTGGTGGATAAATAGTCTGAAAAACCAGACTACAGTATTTCCTTCCCATCTCCCAAAGATTTCTTTGGTGTGATTCAGCTAACTTTTCTTTGGGTGCTGATGAATAACTCGGCTCTGCTTTCTCCCTCTCCCTTCCTCCTCCCTCTCTCATTATGAAATGTGACCTCTTGAAAGCTGGGTCGCTTCCGCTGTGTGTGATCTGAATGCCAGCCCTGCTGGCACCCACATGAGTCCGGAATGCCGCTGAGTCTTGGCTTGCAGAGAATTATTGAGAGCTAAACGGAGAGATGGGTAAAATAAAACAAAAAAACAAAACAAAAAAACAAAACAAAACACCCCTCCAAATATTAGAGGCCTTGCAGTACGTCCTCTGCCAGAGGCAGAAAAATAACTCTTCTGCAAGGGACTGTAGTCAAAAATATTCTGGTGGTATCCAGTGGGCAGGAAACTGGGCACTCCTGTAATCTAGTGTAATTGAGCAAGTTCAAGGTGTTCCTTTAAAAAGCAGTGCCAGACTTTCATTTGGGGTGGTGGTAAATTTCTTCTCGTTCTGTTCTAGCGTTAGATCAGTGAAGCAGAAAGAACCTTCCCAGTATTTTCTGGTACTCTTCGACTTGTTCAAATTCGTTTTCTGGTATAAACCTGAACTGTGGTTTTTCTTATGGTAGCGCAGCAAAACTGTCATTTCCTCCATACATGCAGAAGGTTCACTGCAGACGACAAACTTGGCTTCAGATGAAACCTTTTCTTCTTTTTTTCTTTTTGTAAATCGCTCTTTGAGCAGGCTTCCGCAATCTGGTGCCTTCAGGTTTTTTGACTACCCCTCCCCCATCAGACCCAGAAGCCATGTCCAATGGTCAGGGATGATGGGAATTGCAGTCCATCAAATACACTTAGGGGGCATTAGTTAGGGGAAGATTATCTTTGATATTGCTATATGCATTCTTTTGCTTGTGGCTTACAGTACAATCCTCTACTTACCTACTTGGTAGTAAGCACCATTGTGTTCAGCTGGGCTTACTCCCTGACAAGTGGATATAGGATTGTGGCTTATCTCACTCTGCTGCTTTTTCTCACACTTTCCCCCAGTAACTCAAATGAGGGAATCTAATGCCTGTTGAAAAATATTACTAAATAAAGGAACCATACTTGCTGCACCCATTCTGAACCTTTTAGGATAAGATGGGATAACTATTTATGCATGTAATCTTTTTAATCCCTTTTCCTTTTGTAAAGAGAACATTGCAGGAAGCACAGCACACTGAACAACAATACAAAACACAAAATTCAACACTTGAAACGTTGAAACACCCCCGAAATTTAGTTAGCAAGCACATTTTAGTTAGTCCTGCACAGCCACAACAAAATTAATTAACTAGTGGTGCAATCCTAAAGACGCCTACTCAGAAGTAAGTCCTATTGAATTCATTGGGGCTTCCTCCCAAGTATCTGGGCTTCAGATTATAGGCTAAGCCAATAACATCTTGCCTTGAAGGCCTAATCAGTGAATATTTAATTGTATAATTAATTGAGTGCTAGTTGGTATGGAGAAACTAGCATTCATCTGTTCCCCCTCTTTTCACTTATTGGATATTTTCCTCTCACCATTTATAAAATATTACAAAGGCTACCTATATTTTCACTGGAGTATGATCTACTAACATAAATGAGCAAGGTCCTAATGATTGTAGCTCAAAGCTGCTCTGCGGCAGCCCTTTGTCCACAGGGCAGGCTCAAACCAGAGTCAAAATGGTCCAGTGGCTTAAAAGGTAGCCTTGGATCTGGGAGGAGGATCCTAGATGTGCTTCTCCTGTGGGCCCTCTGTGCAGCCTTGAGGAAGTTGCTATTTACCTGTCGCCTTCAGTTTAGTGTGTGTGTAAAATGGAAATAGTCATAATAATACTAAACCACCTTATTTGATAGTAGAAATAAAGATACAAAATTTGCACTGCTGAACACACTTAACTGGGAAGCAAACTCCATTGAACATAGAATGGTGTTGTTAAGTATTTTTATATCAGACTTGGCAAAGGATCAACAGTAGAATGAGAAGAGAAGAGGCCGTTAAGAACTGGAACTGAATATATAAGAACTGGAACAGTGGGCAGGGGGGAGATATTTATTTGCTTTGGAGTGATTTTAAGAAGCTTTTGTATGATGTTGGTGGAGAAACATTTCTATCCCTAGGACATCTGAAATAGTTATTTCTCCAAACTTGCCCACTGTTATCAGAAGTGGTCAGAAGGTAGTTCTGGGAGCCAGTGGTAGATTAGCAAGTGTTTTTGACTCCCTGTGGTTTTAACTGGAGCAACAACTAAAAGGCTTTCTCACGCTCTCTTCCCCCACCCTTAATTTAGGCTGCTGACTTGAGGAGAGTTTGAAGTGGGGGAGGGAAAACGAGGAGTGGATTTTTGTATGACAGGACTGTGAACTCTTGTTATGGTACTGAAAAAACCAATTCCTGGGCTGAGAAATGTCCTCAAAGGTACCTGGTTCTTAATTCTGTATCCCCCCCCCTCCTCCATTTTGCAGCTGGAACTCCAGGATACTAGTCAAAAAGAGAAGATTATGAAAGCTGCCTACCATGAATACATAGCCTGAAATTTGTCTATCTCTGGACTCGTTGAATATATAGCTGCATAGAAATCTGTGGGGTGTGTGAGTTTTATTTCACCACATGTGGGTTTTTAGTCAGTCCTTAACTTCTCCAAAAGAGAGGGGCTTTGCTGTGACGGACCAGTGCAGATGTTTTGCCTTGTGCCTTAGGGGAAGCCTGCTCTGCAAGTGTGTGGGGAACCAGGCCCAGGAAATAGTTTGATTAGCTAAGCAGGTGTGGACCTAACTACTTGTAAACCAGATCAGTAGTTGGCTCGCCAGATACCCTTTAAGAGGAACCCAACAAGACAGTGACAAGGGATTGAGGATTGGAGTGATCGTTCTGAGGTATTATGGCAGTGGACAAAGCTGAAGTGTACCTTTTGAACAAATGTGTTTTTAATGAAGTAAAACTTGGATGGGAGACCCTGTGGTGTAGCAGTGGGTTAAAAAAAATGAAAAAAGGTGAAAGCCAGTGCTGCTGTTCCACTTACTGAATGGCACATGTAAGAAAAGGGTGATGTGATTTTGGCTGATTCTCCATTTCCATGGCAGGCCTAGGCAAATATATTTCAGAGGGTTGGGAGACAACCCCCCCCCCCAAACATTGAGGAAGGTGACATTGTGGGGAGACAAGTGCAGGTGGAAGGAGATTCAGCCAAAATCACCCCCCCCCCCGACCGCCTTTTCTTACATTATAGAAGTTCTCTACTGGATCAAGAACCGTTCCATGAATGGAGCAGCCATATTGGATTTCAGCGTATAGTATATTAAACAAGTGTGTGGAGACAAGCTGCAGTTGGGAGAGGAGCTCTGCAAAGGCTCTAAAGTGCTTATTTTTATTTAATTCACTTCCTGCCTTGCACTGAGTGCCAAGCCTGCAAAATAAAATGGTAGCCACTATTAAGGATGTTACAGCAGCAGCATTTAAATGTTGGAGTAGTTGGCTGAGAATCGGTAATGAAATCAACAATTATACTGCAGTTAGGTCAATGGTAACTCCCTTATACATATTCCAGGTTTCAGCCCTTGTGTCGAAAGCAGTTTCTGTGGTTGAGCCCTGGCACATAAAAAAGTAATATTTGCATTGCATGGGAGGTTGACACTAATTGCAGGAATCAGAGTCTTGGGGGAAATTCTCAATCTGCTTACCGAAAGGTTTATTGCTGTGGTGGGGAGCTGGTGCATTGACACCTTCTTGCCTTGAACTCCGGGATTATACATACCTTCAGGGTTCTGGAAGTGGGTAGGCTGGCAAGACACCAGGCCTCTGGAGCAATGGCACGCACTGGCAAGGCACATATTACTACTATATGCCATAAGAAGATGGCTGCTGAATGAGGCCAGTCTATCATCCTGTTCATACGTTAGCTAACCAGATCCCTGTGCAAGGAGGACCCAAGCAGAAGAGCTCTGCCCTCCTATTTCTTTATTATTTTATTCATTTTATTAAACTTGTATACCTCCCTTCATCACAAGACCTCAGGGCGGTTCACATAATAAAATCAAGGTAAAAACACAAGCAAATAGCTAAAAGAAAAAACAATGAAACAATACTGCCCCCTTCCCACAAACACATTATTTTTATTTATTCAGTTTATAGAAGTACATACCCTTTAATTCCCAGCAACAGCTTTTCATAGGCCTCTGGCAGGAGGAGTAGCATAGCTGTTGTGGCTTGTAGCCTTCAATAGCTGTGTCCTCCATGTGTTTGTCTAAACCATGGGTAGGCAAACTAAGGCCCAGGAGCCCGATATGGCCCAGTCACCTTCTAAATCCGGCCCACAGACTGTCCAGGAATCAGCGTGTTTTTACCAGAGTAGAATGTGTCCTTTTATCTAAAATGCATCTCTGGGTTATTTGTGGGGCCTGCCTGG